AGCCAGAGTTAAACCATGACACCCCCCCCACTCGCCCCTCACTCTAAACAAGGAGCCAGTCCTTGGGGCAGATAAGAGGTTCAGTCACAGGCAGAGGAATGGGATCGGCAGTAAGTTTTATCCACTGACACATCTAAGGACACACAGAAATGTCCAAAGCTATTTTAAAGGGTTACTTGTAGCTTGTGCAGATGCTTACAGGGAAGGCAAAAGGCACCTCTTTGCAAAAAGTGCCGCTTCCCACCAGGCAAGACTGAAGCCCTTGACGCAAATCCCAGGTGCCAGAGCAGGACAAATCAGAGGTCACCAGAGCTTTTATCACAGAGGGAAATAGCATATTTTCCCATAGCCATATTTTGACTATTTTTTCTTGTTAATCTTTAATCCAAAATAAACCTGTGCCAAGGCGGAAGAACAATATACAAAAAGAAATCCCAGAGAGCTCTGCATATGATGAAGAAAACTGGCATCTATACGTAAAGTCTTATCTATGAAAGCTGTCACAACCACCGCTTTTTTCCAGCCAGGAGAGAGCTGCACTTAGACAAACAATGGTGCTTTTCTCACACTTAAAATTTGATCTTTATTATGGTGACAATATTGTTTTCTGATGTGCTCTGTGTGTGTGAGCAGCAGAAAAGCCACGAGACAGCATCACCCTTGGCCATTCAGTGAATGTAGGATCTTGTGGGAGAGTGTGGGGTTTATTTAAAAGTTTTCTTCAAAACAGTCAGCAAAGAATCTCAGGAAATGTGGGATCAGTAATTTGGCCACTCACCCTGTCCTATCGGGCCTCGTGACAGGGAGTGATCACCACTCACATGAGATATATTTTTGCTGTCTTAAGCAGATTGAATAATAAACCTCCACTTCCCATTGTTACAGCTGCAGCTGCCCGCTCCAACACTGGGACACGGGACACAAATCATCACCAGCTCTTTGAGGGTGTGACGTGCTGCTCTGGGTGGGACATGCCCGACACCAGGGCTGCCCCATCTGCCTTCCCCATGGGCTCCTTTCTGCTTTCACAGTGCCCCCAGCCATGTGTGGGAAGAGGTCCAAGTGTTCATTCTCCCGCCTGGAGGTGATCCTCATCGTTTGCCTGGCATTGATGATAGCCGTGACGGTGGTGCTCCTCGTCCTCCACTTTCTCACCCAAGAGAGAAACGGCAAGTTGAGCTGTTTTGGTCCTGTCATTGCACCCTGCTCAAGTGTGTGCCCAGTACAGCCATTTAAATTAAAGGAGGCAGGTGGAGGGTCACTGGGACACTGCTGAGCCTTCGTCACCTGCTCTGCGTATGGTTCTCCCGCACATCCGTGGCAAGGTGCTGCTGCTGGCCTCTGCAGCAGGAGCACGGTGGTCAAACCCAAGACGAACATCTCCTGGGGCATGGATAAACTTTGGGGTTAGAGGGTAACGCTGGCTGCAGGGATGCAGACAACCTCCCCTCCCTCTCTCTGCCTGGTGGAGGGGGCCATGAGACAACCTCCCACCCCACCCCCAACTTCAGACAACACACCAAGGGACTTCACAGATGTTGCAATCCCATCATAGCCCACTTCTGCCTCCAACTCCATCACTAGGCATGGGGCAGGTCAGGAGATGCCCAAAGTAAACTCTCAATTAACTTCTAATGTCCTCTGGAGAGATAAAATCTCATGGGGAAAGAAAACTTTTTGAAACTGTAGGTGTTTCCATGTGACAGGAGCCCTTTCCCAGAGCTGGGGTTCTCCCCTGTGCCGGACAGGGCATCACCTGATATGTCAGCAATGAGACCTTCCAATTCCTAGATTTTGATCTCAGATTGGATGTAGTTCACCCTTTCTTGCTGTTTTTAGGTTGTAGCACATAAGAGTTTTGCACAATCAATTTCTCTCTCTGTTGTAGTTCTTGGAGGAGGAGGTGGAGGAATGGTAGTTTTAGGGGTAGCCCTGCTCACTCGTGGCATTTTAAACAGGAGAAATGCCCTGTGGTCAGTCTGTGGCCGGTGTGAGTGTTTCAGTTCTGTTTCAAGTTACAGCCTAGGAAAGGCCAGACTGGGAAGACCAAGCATCCCCTTACACCAGTGCCCTGCCCCAAGCAGCAGCAGCTGGCTGGAAAGACTGTGAGAAGAGATCAAGCACACAGAAATATTTTCCCACAGAGTTATCTCGGCCTCCAGTGATTTGTGGCTCTGGGATTTCCTGAGACGTAGATAACTTTTTTTTTTTTTTAATTGAATAGTCCTCAATGGTTTTTCTTCTGTGAGTTTGTCCAGGTGCTTTGTCCATCCTGCAGAAGGACTTCTGCGCCTTCATGATGGCTGGGATAAGACATGATCTCCTTCGGGAGTCCGTTTCCTCACTGCATGACTGGACATCATTGCCCAGAGCTGCTTTTTCCTTCCTTGAGTTTCTGTTGGCTCCGACATGATTTGTTTGAGACTAGAGCACCAGTGCTGGACATGGGAGACATTGGAGGCATCGGCGTGACATGTCGTTGTGCCCCCCTTTCTTCTCTAGTCCTTTCCCAGTAGCTCCTGATATCCCATCCCCCTTTTCTCACTGCTGCTGAGCTGATATTTTTGTGTGTGAAAACAGCTCTTACACCCTCTGATCTGCTTCTTGCATGATAGTGATGGGTCTGGAGAATTTAATAGGTGATGCTAGTCTTGTTTCCCCCTCACTCTGAATCACGACACATTTTACACTGCCAGTGACCCTGTCCTGTGAGCTCCCTCTGCAGTTCTGCACACCTGCTCCTCCCTTTGCTACCCCAAATGTCTTACGAGCCTGAGCACACTGACCACATTGACAGCCCACTGGAAATCCGAGCAGACAGTATCAGCTGGATCCCCTTGTCAGGCATGCAAACTCTTTAAAAAGGCTTTGTTGGCTCTTCTGCTCTCTCATGCGTCCACTAATCTACTACTTATTCTTATTATAGATTCCAGTGAAGTAATAGCAAACTACTTACTGGGCGTAGGTCGAGCTGACTGCACGGGACCTGTGGCAGAAATTCCTCTGGTAAGTTGGGTGAACTGAACATGGGGTTGGTGAAACACTGATTTTCATAATCTCTGAGTATTTTTTTGAGGAATTATGGTTTAGAGGCTCTGCCTTGCCATATTATCTTCAAACATTAGGTGAAATCTCTTTGAGACTTTGAGCACCCTGACCTAGTGGAAGATGTCCCTGCCCATGGCAGGGGGGTTGGAAGTGGATGGTCTTCAAAGTCCCTTCCAACCCAAACCATTCTGTGATTCGTGCCATCGCAGGGTAAGATAGTTGCAGCTGTAAGTTCGTATGTTGGATGAGTGCTCTGACCCTCTGGCAAGTCTACTTAGAAAAATACATGCAAATGAATACATTGATCAATATTTTGGCTGCATGGTCTTGATAGAGCTCTTGCCTTCCAGATGGGATATGCCAAGCCGGAGCAGGTGGGCGGTGGGCTTCTCATGCGCCTCTACAGCCGAGCCTTCATTGTGGCAGAACTTGATGACACCAGGCGAGTAGTGTTTGTCAGCGCTGACATAGGAATGGTGTCTCAGAGGCTGAGGCTGGAGGTATGTGGCTGGAAATGAGTGATTGGCATAGTTTGGGTTGTCACTGGTGTTAGCATTGAGGTTGTAGTCATTGCTAAATAATACTGAGCATGGCAGCACATTGGCTGTTTGCTTTGGGATCTCCTTGCAGCACAATCTTGGAGACATGCCGTGTCTCTGCTGAAGAAGAGCTTTTGATGCCTCAGCAAATGAAGCTGGACTTCGACCATGCTTTTCTTAGCAGAAAAATTGTCACGTGTCCATTTGAATCCTGAATACATTATCATGGTGCCTGTGTAATTCTGGGTCTCCAGCCCCACAGAGGAGGGAGGGAGATGCTGGAGGACTGGAGACTCCTTGGATCATCTGGGCTTCAGTGCAAGTTGGCCATATTGGTCTTAACTTACTGGATTTTATTATCTTAAGGTTCTTGCCAAGATAATAACAGCTATTATAACAGCTATAACCTACTTGTTGTGACACCAGCATGGGAGTGTCAGGCAGAAAGAGAAGAGCAAGGAGGAAGATGAATCGTTGGGCTTTTTGCAAGGGCTTGATACAAATCTCCATAGCCTTTGGGCATGAAAAAGGGTGTTTTAGGACCACCTCCTTCCTCTTAGGTGCTCAAGAAACTGAAGAACAAATATGGTGAGTTGTACCGACAGGACAACGTCATCCTCAGCGGCACCCACACACACTCGGGGCCTGGTGGGTACTTCCAGTACACCCTCTTCTGGATCACTAGCAAAGGGCTAATCAGACCGTCCCTCAACGCTATTGTGAATGGCATCGTAAAGGTCAGTGTTGTCCAGTCTGTTGACACAAGAGCCTGTAAACACAGAAAAAGTGGGGGGAAATACATTTGTGACTAATGGAACTTTTGCTGTGATGTTTGTTGGAGTGACTCCAAACATCACAGTCTTAAAACACACCTGGAGGCAGGTTTATGCTTACCAGTGAAATCAGATCAAATATCAGGAGCTTTGAAGTCTTTCTTTAGAAAGAGACAGTTGTGGGTGATTCCAAAATATTACCATAATTTTCTAGAATTTTAGACTACTTAAGAAAAAAAAAAAAAAAGAGGTCCAAATTCCCAGGAAAGGGTTGGGGACAGGCAGAGATGGAAAAAGAGAGGTTTTCCAAATAATCTCACAATATGCCTTACATACGTGGACTAATATTTCCTGCCTTCCTGCTTTTCAGAGCATTGATATAGCACATCAGAACATGAAGAGAGGAAGGCTTTTTATAAACCGAGGCACTGTAGAAAACAGCCAGATCAACCGCAGCCCTTTCTCCTATCTTGAGAATCCAGCATCCGAGCGAAGAAGGTAAAAGCTCTTCGAACAGGAGAGAAAAAGAGCCCTGAAGAGGACCCTTTGGTTGGGACCGTGACTCTGCCATCTTGCAGCTGGTGTTTCTGGTCATTCATGGGGTGGTTGAAAATGTGGAGGCAAGACAGTGGCAGAATGACACTGCTGCCATCCTGGGTGCTTGGGGGTGTGTAGCTCCAAAGATCAGTTACGAAAGTGGGCTTGAAATTCATGGTTGCCCCCTGCAAGTATGTGAGGCATCAGTCAAGGATAGGACATTATGCGTTGTTCAACAAAAAAAGAAAAAAACATCTTCAGGAGACAGCATTTGAGTCAGATGGCATTAAAATGCTATCCTTGGTGCATGAATCTGTGTACAGAGAGAGCTCCTCTCTCCACCCCCTGGAGAAGTAGCGCCTGAGGTCAGCAACAACCCTAACTCTTCCTTTACCTTCACAGATGGTTTCAGATGCTCCACCAAGGGTCTTGCCGTGCTCTGGCAATATCTGTAATAACCTCTCCATTTCCTTGCTCAACCTAGTGGAGATTTAATGTGTCTGAGCAACACAGAACATCACCACAGCTCTGGCCCTAATGGGATTTTCCCACTTGGTTTTCATCCAGGTATTCATCCAACACGGATAAAGAAATGGTGATGCTGAAGATGGTAGATGAGAGTGGAGAGGGGATAGGTCTCATCAGGTACTGACCGCTGAAGTAACAGGTTTTTCTCCAGTTCCTCATAAACCTCAGCTCGGTAGCAGTTCTGCCTTTCTGCACAAGCTCTCCTTCCCAACACTGACCCTTGTCCATAGAGCACTGGTCCCAGCAGTGGGACCTGGAGGGTCTCTGAGGGAAGAGTAAGTGGGAGTCCATGGATGCATAAGCCAGGCCAGTGTCCCTCATCTACTCAGGGAGATAGAGCAGCACCTGCCCCAGCTACAGCTGGGCACATCTGGCACGACCCAAAGGCATCTGGAGAAGATGACCATAGTTGGTCTTCCTTTGCAGGGGTGCAGAAAAATCCCCTGGGGCTTTCACTGTGCCCCTCCGTGCACATCCCTACCCTGGCATCTCTAGGACCGTTTGGGCTCCTCTTGGTCATTTTCTTTCACCCCCCATGTTTCATGGGAAGTGTGCCATTCCCACAGGCAGCATTTATCATCCCCGTCCTTGTCAGTAGATTTGCAAGGCAGAGTTGGGCTGTGTAAAATTCAGAGCTCAAGGCCAGAGAAATTTTCCCAAAGAAAATTCCATAAGTCAATTGCAAATATATAGATAGAACAAGTCAATTGCCAATATATAAACTGAACAACACACTTCCTGTGTGTCTTCTGACTCCCCGTCAGCTGGTTTGCTGTGCACCCCGTCAGCATGAACAACACAAACCACCTTGTGAACAGCGACAACATGGGCTACGCGTCTTACTTGTTTGAGCAGGAGGAGAACAAGGGGATGCTTCCTGGAGAGGTAGGAGTGTTTTCAGACTACTGGAAACAGTGGGGAGAAAGGTGCTGCAACAGCGAGGGGGTGGTTGGTGCTTTCTATGGGCCAAAGCGGGTCCTTCCAAACAGCGAAACAGGACAGCAGGGTAAACACAGAAAGAAGGGGACAAAGAAGGATGCTTTGATTAATTTATTTTTTTCCTCTGGAGAATAGAAATTGCAAGGTATACTCGACTTTCCAAACCAGTAATCAGTGGCATTTATTTAGACTTTAGGAATAAACCAGATTTATTTTGATGTAACTATTGGAAACATTGTGAAGACATGTGGGATACTTGATCCAAAGGGATCAGTGCATCTGTGGTGTGACATCATGTCTGTGGTCAGCCCCACTTCTTCCTTGTGGCTTCCAGCCAGCTCTGCCTTCTGATTTTCATTTATCCAGAAGATTCACCATCCTCAAGGTGCAGGCACAACTCTTTAAAAAGTATAATTTCCCCTGAAATGTAAATGTGGACATGAACCCATCTCGCAGATGCTTTCACCCATGGGTTGATGAGGAGGGCGTCCTGTGTGTATATCTCCAGCATGCACTTTGAAACAGTTGCCCAATTCCTATTTTAATACTCTGGGCAAAGGAACACGTGCAGTTCATACCAAAGATGGAAACAAAAGGACTTCTACCTAATTTGTGCCTGCAAATGTTGCTTTTTATGGTGGATTACTAAACATTTTAACAAGACTCGACTCCTCTATATAGTTACAGGTTTAAATCAGTACAAGTTGACATGCATAGAAGGCTAAGAAGTGTTTGCAGGATTCAGGATTCAGCAGTATGATATGCTGGGCACATTGTGTCTAGCAGTTGTAGAAGAAAATGGCTTAAGAGCTAATAATATTTCAAAATATCTGGTGTTGATGCATCCCATCTCTAAAAGAGGGGAAAAAAAAGAGAGTATCTGAGGGCTGAATTCAGCTGACACTCAGAGTGTAACCAGCCTTGTTTGTAATGAGCACTACCTGATGTTAACTCCTGCACTCAGATCCAATAGTTCTCACCCTGTAAATCAGTCAGGGTGATAGCCTGGCAGAAAAAAACACTCCTGTGCAAGGTACTACGATGATCCGTTAACATCCGATCAGTAACATGAGAAAGTGGGGACATGGGGGGAAGAGCTGCTGCTGAGATGGAAGGGGTAGATGAAGGAATGCTGTCTGGATACCAAAGCAGCGTGAAGGTCCCCCCGAAAGGTGGTTGCATCCTGTGCATCCTATTCTCTCTTGCTCTTCCTGTCCCTAGCCCTTGGGACATTCCTAAATCCCCATTCCAGTCCACCCAGTCACTTCAGAAACGTTTACCAGCATTGCTCTCACCAGCTGGCTGCAGTGCCAGCCTTGGCTGCCGGGAAAGCTGCAGGTGATGTTTGCAATCACCGTAAGGCACTACAACCCACCTGACCACCCCTGGTTTTGGCAGGGTCCTTTTGTGGCTGCCTTTGCATCCTCCAACTTGGGAGACGTGTCGCCCAACACCAAAGGCCCGTTCTGCGCAAACACGGGGGAGTCGTGCAACAACCCGCAGAGCACCTGTCCCACTGGGGGGGTAAGTATGTCTTACCTGATCGACACTGACTTCTGATAAGGAGAAAACTCGGGGTGGAGCAGCAAATACAGATCCATTGTGCATGAGGAGGACATTAAAAAAAGAAAATCATGTCTTTTTGGACTATTCTGGATACCTTTTTCAGGACCTTACTGTGTCTTGTCCTCATACTCCACACTTGCTGGTCATGCAGCCCAAACTTTAATTTATCTTGCTGCAAAAGTAACCTAGAGCCCAAATTGGAGATGGTTAGCAAGAAACAATTAGTTCCCACAGTATGGCAATCACTTGTGAACTCACCCACTTTGCAGTGCCACATGTTCTCCACATTAACTGATCACTGGCATTTAATCACATTTCTTAACAGGCAACGATGTGCATGGCCATGGGTCCCGGCAATGACATGTTTGACAGCACAAGAATTATAGGGCAAAATATCTACTTGAAAGCAAGGGTAAGTGATGTTTTACTTTACGAGTGTGTGTGAATGCTGTTATTAGAGGAATGTCTGTTCGTTTAAACCACTTTCACCTGTTTTTGTGAACGTGTGTGGATTTCAATTACTCTAAAGTCCGTATTTATATACTTAAGGAAAAGTTTCCTGATTATTCAGAAAGAACAAACTTGTGTACAGATACATCATTGTAGGTGTTGCAATTTGAAAATGTTGGTTTGGGCTTTTCATCTCAATATTCCTCATTGGTATATAATGTGGATGTGGCTGCTTATAATCTCCCCCTCCCTCCCATTCACACATCTCAGAGTTGTCGTGATAGGAAAACTCGCTGGTGTTTAAGACTCCTAGAAGAGCTCAGAGACACCACCACATACTACTTGTTGGCCAACTTTGGCATCACACTCCCAAACAAATGTGAGTTAAAATGTGCCAGCTTAAACAGCCATGAAAGATACTCATCTTGCCCCGCTTGACTTTGCATTCACTCGGTCTCCTGCACCCTATGGGCCCCTTTACGTCGCCTGTGTCCTTGGCCTCAGAAGTCACCTGAATTTACTGGTTCCCCTTCTTCGGCTTCACGTAATGTGAGAGTAGTCAGAGGACATTTTTTGGCACCGTTTCAGGGACAGCAGCTTGTAGGAACTGGAATGAGTCCAGCAGAGGAGTAAGAGCAGAAGGCTCGATGGTGGCGGTTTCCTTTTAATCACCATTTCAGATGTTTGCCTCGAAGTCACTCCAGGCTGATCGTGACTTGCAAGTGAAAGATGGTCCCAGTCAGAGTGGCCCGTCATGGGTATCAAATGGCAAGGGAAAACATTGCTGTCATTTTTAACACTGTAGGCTCTTGGCTGTATCCTCTATTCCTTCCTGCAGCTAGAGGAATGTTACTAAACCTGTATAGCTTCTGGCAACACTTTCTATGCACCAACCCCAGGCGTGTGTGCCAGAAAACCATTCACTGAGGAGCTGAATGACTTAGCTGTCAGCTGCATTGTAAATGCACGGTAAAGCCCGTGTGTTTCAAAGAAATGCACACAGCAAAGCACATCTTTCTCATAGGAAACGTTTCTTCTGGTTGGTCTAAGATGTGAGAAATGCCAAACGGTTGCAACTAAGAAAAAGAAGTTGCCATCCTCGTGGAATAGGTGCATGTTTCAGCTCAAAAAAGAAAGGCAAGCACAAAACTGCTGACCACAGAGTGTCCTCCCGATGTTACTTGAGACAGGGAGAGCTTGCAGGACTTGGGGCTTGCAGGATGTAGAGATGGGGTGATAGAACCAAAGGAACCTGGGAAATACACTCCTGCTTTAACACCTGGAAGGTGTCAACAGAACGAAGAACTCATTCATATAGCTGATTCTCAGAAGAGCCAGGTTCCTGATTTCTTATTCTTCAAGGATTTCCACCTTGTGTATCCTTTAGGAGCTGTATGAAAAAGCGTCCCAGGAGGTCAGAGGATCCCTCAGCTCAGCTCACCAGTGGGTGAACATGAGTGATGTCTCGGTGGAGCTCAATGCCACGCACAAGGTAAGAGCAGGATCTCCTGAGATGCAGGTGTGAGGAAGGAAGAAATGTATTTTCACAGCAGAACTTGGCATGCTGAGGGGAACTGGTTTTAAAATATGTTTTTTCTTTTTTTTCTTTTCCCCCTTCTGTGTAAGGTTAAAACGTGTAAACCAGCCTTAGGACACAGTTTTGCTGCAGGGACTATTGATGGGCCGGGGGCTTTCAACTTCACACAAGGTAAGTTAGGGAGCAGATGTCAATGTGGCTTCATACAAACGGGGAGGACATGGGGCGTCCCTCAAATAGATTAAAACCCCCAGAGCTGTTTAAGAGCATCAACAGCTGGTTGAATCACAGTCTCCAAAGGGATGTTTTTTGGGAAGGTGTGATCTTACAGCCCCCTGTGCAAGGTTGTCTGTGTTCATGAGAAAGCTTCTGGAGAAGGATATGACCATTCTGGGAAGGAAGGAGAGCACTGAATGGGGAGTGAGGAGTGGGGAGAAGAAAGAGCTGGCTTTGGGGCAATCTTTTTAATTTGTTCTTATTACCTGAAGGCTGTCAAGATGAGGCTTGGCTGGGCTAAATCTTGGCTTTTCAAACTACCCCAGAAAATGGAGATTGTCAGAATCCACTGAGAAGTATCTTATCCCACATAAGAGGGGAGGGGATAATAAATGAAATTTATGTCTGATAGCTGCTGGGACAGCTGAAGGAACAGCATGTAAAATATGTTTCTTCCTCAAGGCTCAGTAGAAGGGGACCCGTTTTGGGATGAAATCCGGGACCAACTGCTGGGAGAGCCATCCAATGAAACAAAAGACTGCCACAAACCCAAGCCAATCCTCTTTAGCACTGGAGAGGTAAGGATGCACAGGTGTGTGCCCTGGGATGTGCAGAGATTGCTGATCCTTGCTAGGTTTTAGTAGGACGCTCCAGAAGATGTCTGTACCAGCCCATATGGTGAAGAACAAGGTAGAAAAGAGCACTAGATGGGCTTTGAAGGTATGAAAATAAAAGACAAGAATAAGTGTTGTCATTAGTTTGCATCAGAATGAGAGAGGTGGAAGTTTTCCATTTGAAAAGCATCTTTTCCATATATCCCAGGAGGAGAGACCAGACTTGCTGGGTCAAAAACCCAATGAAAGATCAACCCTGGCCTAATTCTCTGCCTGTGAAATGGCCCTGAGCAGGATGCACAGGGAAAACGTATGAGGTCAGGGAAAGCCAATGGTGTGTGGGGCTCAGTGTTGCCTCTTGGCAGTCTCTGCCTTCAGGACATCCTCTGCTGGTGCTCAGATCTAATAGCTCCAGGTGAATTTTTCTTCCATCCTGCCATTGGTTTCCTACCTCAATCCATGAGAGGACTTTTCTTCTTTCTTTTTGTCATGTGACAGACTGGTCCATGCAAAAAGGATTAACTTGTCATGGTGCCTTTTGGAAACTCGGGGGCTGTATTTACTTACCCTCCTTCTCAGTGATGTCTTCAAAGGTTTCTACTGAGCTTTGACTTCCTCTGGAAACATCCAGTTGACTTCTCTGCAGGACCAACACTGCAGCTACAGCAGATTGCTCAAGCCCATGACCGGAACAATCAGGGAAGTCAGCAAGGATGGAGACCCGCTGCTGCTTGTGTCCCCAGCAGAGGAATGTCCCATTTCTTAGGGCCAGCCTTCGCAGTGCTGTTGCCCAATTGGTCCCAGCCTATCCCCATGCTCAGGGCTGCTCTGTCCTGGGCAGGACCTGGTGTTTGTTCTAGTGAACTTTCCCAAAATCCTACTTACAACTTCAAAAGAAAATTGATGTCCCATTTTCCACCTGTGGTTCCCTTGGCATTAAGGCAAATGCACTGTAGTGGTGTGGGATCATGTCCAAGGTCCTTTAGAGCAGTTAGATGATGCTGTCTGGATGAGGCAATTTGTTGTTATTCCTTTAATTGGTCTCTTTAAAAGCTTTCCTAGTGTTGCTTTGTGTTCAATCTGCTCCTCACCTCCTATAAAAAGAGATGCCCAGCACAGACCCTCCTCCCACTCCACCTCCTCCGTCCAGGATGATACTACCGAGAGTAAATTACACTTTATTCTTACAAGTTTATCACCTGGTGAACATCCTTTTACAGATGATCTGGCAGGCCTCCTGCTTGTGATGCGCTTAACGAAGTTTTGACATTCACGTTTTACTCCCAGTAAACTGCTCCTCAAAATACTTCTTGGCTTGCTGTAGTGGGTTTTTGCATTTCATTTGCTGGAGCCATGCCACCCCTGAGCTCTTGTTCTTTATTTCCCTTTAACAGGCTTCATTTTTATCAAGCTTTTATCTATCTATCTATTTATTTAAGATGAAATGCTGCTGTAGTGTGTGTTTTGGCTGCTACTACTGTGCTGAGTATGGCGTGGTCAGTTAGGGGCAGTTTGAAGTCAGGGCTAGGTCGAGGGTTCCCTTAGCATTAGCCTCTGGTGACTTAGAAACCCTCCCCCTGCATCACAACTTTCCTGAGCTGCCCAAGAGGTAACCCTCGTGTCCCATCACCGTTGGGCTCTCTGATTTAACTCATTCACTTTTGCTCTCCTGGTCAGATGATCAGCCTCATTGATCCTGATGCTGTCCTTTTCCCATGCAGGTGAGAGGTTTCCAGGTGATACCCTGAGCTTATTTACCAAATTTTCTTTAAGATATCCCTCTGGCAACACCTGGTTGTTTTGGTTTTGGTTTTTTTTTTGCCTTACCCATAGTATTTAGATGTGCTTTATCTGTTTGTTATGGTCAGACAACCCGCTGTACATGTGAAACTAAAACACTTTATGTGCCTGTTGATAATGTGAATTTATTTGCCTGACTTATGACTGTAGGAAGGAAAACACTTGGGCTACCTTTTCTTACTACTACCCTTCAACAGTCACATCCTCTTTTTTTACACCTCAGATGACCCGGCCTCACCCCTGGCATCCTGACATTGTGGATGTTCAGATTGCTGCCATTGGATCGCTGGCAATCATCGCTGTTCCCGGAGAGTTCACGTATGTATTTCTTTGGTCTCGTTCTGTGTATTGCAGCCAGCAGCATTTCATTCAAACTACCTGTGATACTTCTGCATGCAGGTAGAAAGGGGGTGTAGGTTAAAAGTGCCCCTGATACACGAGAGCTGTGTGGGCACTACACATAAATGTCCACTGCATGTATTTTATTGTGTATCATCTCTTCTGGTTACCTGGGGTTTCCCATTTTCTTCTCCATTCTGTAAACTAGTCAAGGGAATGAATGAGATGCAAACAAGCTTCCTAAATAATTTTAACTGTTCCTTGTGAAATGCAGTTTCAATGAAATGAAAGGAACTTTTTAACTTTGATTTTTCTTTTCATGCCACAAACACCATAGTGATGAATTGCACTGACTGTTGATGGTACAATGGTGAAAAATCTGAATAGGGTAATGATTTAATTCCATCACCCTTTTTTAATACCCCACCCTGCCCCGAGATGCCTCCAGCCTCACCCTGGCTGTGATGATGTATGTGAAATATGTATTGAGGTGGTTTTGTTGAGCTCATCGCAGGGAAGTTTTAAGGAATTCTGAGCAGAGCTGCAAGTGCTATGTGAATTTCTGGTGGTGTGCTGCATAGCCAGGCGGCATTTCCAACATTTCTGGAGGCTGACATTGTTCCCTTAATGCCCTTAGGACCATGTCTGGACGCAGGCTACGGGAAGCTGTTAAAAAAGTAAGTTACCGAGGAAGATGTTTCTCCAGAGCGCAGCATATCTGGAACTTCACATTTCTTGATCTTTGTGGTTTTTCCTGTGTCTCCTCCCAGCTGGGCCCGTGGGTCTCGTGTCTCACAGATATTTCCTTCTCACAGCTGCTTCAGACACATTTTGTGTGTGCCTACTGACACGCAGGAGAAATGAATATCTGCCCCAAAAGAAGAAAAACAATCAAATTTCAGTCCATTAAGCCAACACAAGCTAGTTTAACTGGGATCCAGGCATACCTGGTGCTAGCAGGAGTTTTGTCTCTGGTATGGAGGGGTTTAACTCCTTAATCCCTACCAGGATTTCACAACTAAGAACAATTGGAAAAAAATGGCAAATTTGTTTTTTCCATTTTCGTGACTGATACTGATTCTCATCTGCAGCCTGAATGCCATCTTAATCTCAGACGCTGTCTCCACAACTCACTGAGCCTGTCTGATGTAGTTACATTGCCAGTTTTATTTGGAAGCATGCAGACATCAGCTTAAAAACAAACCCCTGAATTTATTCAATTTACTAGAGTATGAGGTAATTTCTCCTCTTTTTCTTTGGGAAGTGAATATGACATGTTAATGAAGGCAAATTACTCTTGTAGGGTTGCATTCCTGAACATCCAGCTCCCTCCCCACTGTAACTTTGTATTCTGCCCTGCTAAATAACAACAACAACAATATAATTGTGCATTAAGTAGTTGTTAAAGGATATGTGATTGATTTCCTTTCTTAGGAATTTGATTCTCATGGCACACCAAGAATGAATGTCGTAATTGCAGGTCTGTGCAATGTCTATACCCATTACATTACTACCTATGAAGAATACCAGGTAAATGTTACAACTGCAGATTGAACATGTTTAACTGAGTTCAGTTGTGGCTATATTGGACGATAATTCATGTGAAATTATGTATATTTAGAGTATTTTTCCTTTATTACAAAAAGCTGAAGAATCTGTGGCAGAAATCACAAGACCTCCTTGTTTATTCTGGCCTAGGCGACATGGTCCAAGGACCAACGTGGTTTCCTGGTCATAACTAGAGGGTATATGTATGGATGCTTTAATGGGATGTACTGAAGGGAGTTCCTGTGAGTTCAGGTCTGTTTTAGTAATCTCCTGATGACTCGGATGAATTAGAAATTACCTCCATAAGGTGGCAAAATTTCCGTAAGAAAAGTTTTGAGCTGTAGGGTTGTAAAGTGAATTACAGTGCCATGTGGAAAAGGGGGAAACAGAGCTTGCAAGACCCGGTCTTAAGGGTCCCCACAAGGCATGGTCGATGTTGTGCTTTCAGGATGATGTGGGCCATTGGATGGACTCCTCGGGTTTAGAAACCCTAAACTGGGAGGGATGGCTGGAAGAAGGGGGGTTGTCCAACCCAAAAAGTTGGAGATGAACTACAACATAAGCTTTTAAAAGAGTAAAAGAGCTGTGATAATTGGAAGAGTGACAACCAGCCCTCCCTGTTTGTAATGGATTGGAAACCGAAGAGTAACTTGAAATTGCAGCAGAAATACTTAGGCAAGACCAAGACTTGTTGGTCTGTGTCCCTAGCAGTGAGGGAGGAAATAAACCCCCGCAGGCGTAGTGCTGATCTTGTCTTGGCATAGTAGAATGAGCTATATAAACTGCACAGGACTCCTTTAAACCTTCCTTTTCCAAATTTGTCCTTTGCTAGGTTCAACGATATGAGGCTGCATCAACTATTTATGGGCCGCACACCCTTTCTGCTTATATTCAACTCTACAGAGGACTTGCAAGGGCTATTGCTACGGTAATCAAAATTTTCTGTATGCCAAACGCTGCTAGAGACATTTAAGTCCTGCAGATGGTGTTAGCTATATTTGTTACTCAGTGAGGTTGCATGATTGCTACCCTCTCTTTTCTCATAAGCTTTGTGAAATAATCATGTGGTATGAAAATAATTCCTGTAATGGAGGTCTCATTTCACTTGGGAAATTCTGGGGGTTTTCCCATTCAAAGTTTAGGAAATAGGTACCTCCAACCTTTCAGCATGGCCTGAAGTTGCTGTTTTTCTACCAAGAGGGAAAAAAATCTGCTACATGTCCACTGTACATGGCCATATTCACTACCATCTGTGGATCACGTGAACATGTGGGACCGCTGCATGGGTGCTGGCTCCTGAAGTCGTGGGATATTCTGGTGTGTGGAATTGGGGGAACTCAGCAACAGGGCAGTGGGCGTCCTGTGGGGATTTCATCTGTGCTCTGCATGCAGAAGCAGATCCTCTTGTTTGTTTATACGCTCACTTTAATTGCCCTTGTTCTTAAAATCTCTCTAAGCAATGGGATTGGATAGAGAGCCACAGGAGTGATATGATTCATCAGGCAGATACTGGTTATCTCTATGTGTGTATAATGAGCACATCTTCCTTCTCCCAGAATACAGTTCAGGATTTGCCACGTGGTCCAGAGCCCCCAGTTTTCAATATAGGTAACATGACCTTGGTGCCTCCCCTCACTGCTGATCGTGTGACGGCGAATAAGACATTTGGAGATGTGCTACAAGAAGTGAGACAACAGTATCAAGTGGTGAGAGCTTCAAGGATTTGCTAAAACTTGTTTAGGAAATTGTCTTTAAATTCTTACCCCTCATCCAAAAAAGTCTATGTTTTCTAAAGGGTCATAGTGCTCTCAGACTAAAAAAGGTCTCATTGCTCTTAGTGGTCATGGCTGAAAAGGCAGAGACAGAACATTTTCATGCCAATGTCACTGTACTGAACATGATTAAAATGGGTAAATGAAGAGGAAAATGAAATCCCTTTATGCAACATGAAGATTTCCCCTTCTGCTTTGACATAAAACAACAATTGATGATTAAATAGGCAAATCTTTTACAGTGATTTCTTTACAAGCAGAAATCAGGTCACCCTTGATGCCTCTTGCTATGGAATGTAAATGAAATAAAAAGGTTCAGTTTTTGATTCAGAGCAAGGACTTTCATCTCATTGCTGTCTCCAGCAGTAAGGTAGGAAGAAGGCGGGGAGGCATTCTTAAAAATCTCACCCATTTCCCTCCCTCTTTTACACAGAAACCTTATGTGCTGTGGTAGAGTTTATCCAGCGAGCAGGACAAGTGGGGTGGCAAGGCACAGAATAACAGTTCTCAGTATAAACTTTCCATCGCTATTGCAACATGTGAAATTATGAATAATTTAAAAGAAAAAAACAACCACCAACACAACCCCCCTCCAACCAAACCACTCAAAAGCTCATATGGTATCTTCAAAGGATGTTCTGAATGTGCAATATGCTGCTCAGTCTTTAATATAAATCTCAATTCCCCCCAGAGAGAAGTTGCTGAAGTAACTTTCATAGGTGCGAACCCCAGGAACTCTGCAGAGAATGTGGTAAATATGACTCAGTGGTGCTGGAACTGGGGATGTTTGGGATTAATGAACACTTAGTTACTGCCTCTGCCTGATGCATTTGAATCTTTGACATTCAGTTTTCAGATGGAATAAGACCATGTTCTTCCATGTTCTCTTTGCTGGGAGTTCAGAAAAATATAGTTTCTCCCTTTATCACGTGTTTTGGGAATTCATACTACCAGAATGCTTTTAGGGCCAAATCCTTAACTTGTTTGAGTATGGACCATTCATGATCTCTTTGTGAGAGAGATCTTGAATCACGATCTATGATTCTATGATTCTTCAAACTATTGAAGTTAAAGGCACCCATGTCATGTGTTAGGCCAGATGCTCTTTCTCAGTCAGTATCCAGTGCCATCCAGTCACAGCAAGCATGGTCTCTACTCTCCATCCTATCATCATGTTTAATAAAACAAAGAAAATCAGGGAAGTACTTAACTTGTCCCATCACTTACGTTGCATAGGCATTGATAGCAAACACCTCACCTGTCCATTCTCTTTTTAATTATCAAGTTCTTTACTCATTCTCTGTGTCATTTATTAGCTTAAATTTATTAGGTTATTTCACTGCCAAATACAAGCATTTTTGCTAGTAATTATTGCATTTGCAGTAAAGCACGTGGGAGCAAAGTCCCTTCTCCAGTTTGAAATGACAGAAAAAAGTAGGGATGTGCCTGTCCCTTCAGCATCTGGCTAACTCTGCTATTTTTATTCCAGACTGAACATAACTTCCTGACGGTGGAGAGATACTTCAGCACTTCAGACAGCTGGCATGTCATACAGAACGATGCCTCCTGGGACACCAGGTGGGTGCCCTGACCAGATTTCACTGTTCCAGACTCCTCCGAGTAATCTGAGTTTAACCTCAAGGGCTTCATTTCAGAGCTCCCAACATTAGCTTGGTCTTGTCCCTGCTCTCTGAGGATGGATCGATCCATATCTGGATGGTTACCTTGTCAAGACCGCAACTATCGGTCTTCCTCTTGGGTCTAGCTTCTACAATGAAGACTTATAAGTTTGGGAAAGCTAGAAGGAAGAGCAAGAATTACGGAAGGTTTGTGGTCCAATTTGTTCATAGCCTACATCCATCCATCTGCCATACCATGCTGATGAATAGGGTGCCAAATAGAAAACGAGTGGTTCACCACAAGTAGGGTTTTCATAGGGAAAAACTGGCCAGCTTTGCAGTGCATCATAAAGTAGAGACAGTCAGAAGTTTAAAAAAAGTTTGTAAGAAAGCAAAGTTAAGGTTAGAGATGTCAGGCTTAAGGAAAAATATCCACTAAGCAGCAAAGATGGTGTCACCTTTCAGACCTACACCAGAAGTCCACACACGAAGTAGGAATACCAAAGGCATCTTTTGTCACACTAGTAGATATAAAGTTAATTCCCTGTTTGAATAAAACCAGACATTTTCCAACCTGCTTCTGCAACCTATCTGTGAAAACCAGATCTCAAAAACCATCCAGCTCAGGGTCTTCTGACCTTGTTATGTGCAAACACCTAACATCTGCAGTCAGAGGGGCGATGTCCCCAACAGCATGGCTTCATCAAAAACGTCTTCTTCTGGATTTATGACAAGCATTTGATAGGGCATAATTTTCTCTGCCCAAATGCAACCAGCTGCTCCCTAAACCTAATCCGGTAGCCAGGATTCCCAGTGTGGCTACCTGCACCTGGAGCTCTGCATTTCTAGGTGCTTGCCCTCAGTTTAATACCTGTGCTATGTTACCTTGTCACTCTCATTGATGTCACCCTTTCCAGCCAAGTTCTCTGCCTGAGTAAGGGAAATGATGGCATTTTATCACCTATGTATGGGGCCCTGCCTTCATCCCTCCTCTTCCAAAAATCCAACATATTTCCCAAAATCTTGGCCAGGGCCACAGAAGATGTTTAATAACACATCATTCAAGAGGATTAAAAACTTAAAAGTGCAAAACTTGAAGGATGTGCTGCCATGATGCCGGAAAGATGGGAATCTAGTCATCTTATTTTCCTTCCTGAGAAAGGTCAGACTTTGGATCTCTGAACAGAGGCTTCCTTCTGCTGATAAGAAGGAAGGGCCTTCTGTGTGGCGCGGTCGACACGCTG